TCAGTTGGCAAATGCAGCTCCGAGCAAGAAGGGATTCAGCTTCTACGGTTATTTGGCTGTATATCTATACAATAGAAGCAACAATTAAATCTAGATACTAAAAAGCAGGGATGTTCTTAGTGCTTCAATTGAATTTGGATGTCTTTTTTGGTGTGTGTGTGTGTTCAGATACACATCGCTCTTTCACCAAGAGGCACTACCGTTGCGCACCGAAAAAGCACCATCGGTGGACCGGACACCACCGCTCCATCGGCGCGACCGGGCTCGGAGCGCGCGGACACCGTGTCCGGGCTTCGCCTGCGCAGCCTCTGACGCCGCGAGTTCGCGACGGATGCATTCATCCCAGGCACGTTCCTGAGCTGCGCGACTGCTACTCCTTTGGTGGTCCCAACAGGCACCCCTTTCGTGGAAAAGCATGAAAAGCCCAAGCGAGAAGTGGGTGAAAGGTGGAGGACAGAGGACTGAACCTACGTGGAATGCCGCCTCTAAAAAACCTGTCGTGGTGCTCCAAAAAAAACCTTGAAAAAGCGGGTGGATCCGGGTTTTTCCAGAGGGTAGCGAAGGGTTTTCGCGCGCCCTTTTGCTAAGAGGGCGCTCTTCTGGATTTCACACCCGTTGAACTCTGTTTGCATCTGGGGCGGACCGCATCGAGGCGGGTGGATCCGTGTGCGACCGGTATCGAAAGACCGGTCGAGCTCAGGATCCACTTATCCCAAAGCAGGGTTGAGGTAGTGGAACCTGGTGGAGAGAAACCTCTCATCATCTCCAGTCCTTCGCAGTCGGCCTCTTGGAACGTTTTCGAAAGGAAGACCCCCCAAACAGACGGAAAGCACAGCACAGCACACTTGGAGGTCCAAGTATCTCTGCATCCTTCCTTCGCCGCGATCCCCCCCAATTACCATTCGGGGCCAAGCGCACAGACCCATCGATGTGCTCCGTTTCGTTCGACCCCACCCACCGCCTTCCACCTCCGAACCCCCCGGGTCGACGGCCTCCGAAGCCCGAACGAAGTCGGCGGAGCTTCGTTGTGCTCCAAGCGACGTACATGGCCACGAGCCTGGTCTGCGGAGCGAGAGGAGTCTCAGAAGCATCATGAGGAGTGCACCAACAACGGTTTCTTCACGGCTTAACCATCCATTTTTTTCCATGGCTCTCAGAGGTCTGAAACCGCGAGCGTGACGGCTTAACCATCCGGAAAAAAATAATGAACAGAAGCACCAAGTGGAATACAGCATCGGTGATGGATGACACCATCAGTGGAGCGAAAAGCGGTGAAGAGTCCATGAAGCTTGTGACTCACAAATGTTAGGGGATAACATCTGCAGTGCTGCATCTGTCAATGTGACAAATGATCTGGGATCGATGCCTTATGTCGGGAGGTTGCTCTGTTTTCGACATTTTTCGACCATATCCCGAAATACTTCCTCACCATGGAACCCACTTTCCACTCATTTGGAATCAATGGTCGTCCACTGAATCTCATGTGATCCCAAGTCATCCGAGGGCGAGTCACCCCCGTGAGTTTCATTGATGCGTGGAACCTCTGGTGAATCTGTTTGATTGTCCTGCCTGTGGTTTTTGTGTGTTCGAATCATCAGTTCACGAATTGTCCAGAGTAGACAAAACCCGTGCAACAAATCATGGCGACGTGTGGAGTGAAAAAAAACGGTATGAGGAAGACAGAGCCGTCCGAAATCGGGGGCCATGCCCCGATTGCTTCAGAAAACGGGGCCCCATCCCAAATCATTCCATCTCTGGGATTCGCCACTTCGTCAAATTCACTTCTTGGGTGGTTCTTGGGCCCCGAAGTCAGAAGGGTTCGATCTTGAAGTCAGAAGCGAAACCCGCTGTAGGACAGGAGGGTGGGTCGAAATCACAGAAAACAGAGTTGCCCGGCCCATTTTTCAGCTGATTCCACGCCTTCACTTGAAGTACGAGGTACTCCCCTATTTTTATTGGTGGGAACCATTGTACTGTTTATGATCGTTTTGGTTTTGCTCGTGGAGCAAAAGATTACGGCATACACAGCCCCAGTAGGAGAACTCGGGTACAAACAAGAATAACTACATTAAATGATTCGATGATATGGATATTGTCTACTAGTACCTGTTTCTTGTTACATTGTTTGAGAGGTGTCAAAACCCAAGTCAGAATCCACACAATCCAAGAGGGGTTCCTCCAGCCCTCAGGTGCCGATTTCCCTCAGGTTCCAGCTGAACACAGAAACAACAGTTTGGTGTTTCGGATGTCAGTGGGTGTTGGAGGGCTTAATCCATCTTACTCCCACCCCTACCAGTGACCCTACCAGGCCCTACCAATCCACATCTCGGTGATGTGGATGACGCTCCGCGGCGCCATGGGCCGCTCCGCGGGCCGCCCCCCAGCTCCCACATCCGCGCCTGATGGCTGCAGCTCGTGCAAATTTGGCGCCATAGTACGATTTGCGCTCGTCTTTCGACATCCCCATCTTCCCTGCAGCTGTGACGATGCATGCATAGAGTACAGCACAGAGGTGCTTGCATGCATGCATGCATGCATGCATGCATGCATGCGCACAGGGGGGGGGGGAAGCCAAGATGGTGACTGGAAGAGGGAGCTTTTCTGCTGCGATTGATTGTGTGCATGTGCTTTTGTCTGATGTATTGTAAACGGCCAAAAATTCTTTGCTGAAAGGCTCTGATCTAGGGTCTTCAAGTGTGCAACCAAAACAGGAAGTCATCTATTTATGTTGGCCGTAGAGCAAGCGTTGTGCAGAAAAAAGTGTATATTAACTATTTATATTTATATTGCAATTATATAATAGCTTGCCTGGACCCAGCGGGCTGAAAAATCTCGGCATGGCTGGCATGGCTACAATGGTTTCACCAGGGAGCTGCCAGTTAGGAAGTGAATGAAGCAGAATCTAAAACAGAAAAACCCTCAAGACACCTGTCCTTGCGATACTTTCCAAGAGACACTCCCCCTTTTACCAAAAAGAAGTAACAAAAAATGTCTCACATCTTCGCATCGGCCGGATGGCCATGGTCAGAAAAGTTAAACCATGACAAGCTTTTGATGCGAGATAAAAATGATGAAGATCCAAATGAACCCATTGACATCACCGAACCCACCAACGGAACGGCCCGGCCGCACCGAAAACCGTTGAAATCCCCACGGAAAACTCGCGCCACTCGCGCCTTTCTTCTGGAAGATCTGCTCCAATTCCACTTCCTCCGGCGTTTCAGCCCAATTGCCGAGCCCAGGGCCTGCGTTGCTCGCTCAGCGGGGCAGGTAACCAGCGGGTAGCCTCTGAGGTCTAGAACTCATCTGCGTCTGAGTCATCAGGAAATAGCTCAAGCAAAAACACACTTGACACCCAGTTGAGACGGACAGCTTTAAGTCAAAGGAACTCTCATGAAACGATTCGGATCATTGTGCCCGGCCTTTCACACACAACACGTCAGCCATTGCGAAACAGTTGATCGACGTCGGTATTTGTGTCGGTACAGTTACTGTACACAACATGTTTCAGTCAGGGTTCAAGATTATGCCAAATGACGCACACTCTTCGCGCTTCAGAGCCGAGCCCGCCGAGCGCGAGACAACCCGGAGCGTGAACGGGTGTGTTTCTAGGACCTCTGAACCGTTTCGCTCAAGAACCCAAAAGGAGCGATTGGGAGAGGAGCGATTGGAATTGGAGCCCCTTTTTCTCTCTACCACAATCCGAACGGGCCCGACCTCTTCGGGGTCCGGACCTGAACCAAACACTAAAGACCATGTGTTGGTTCGGGCTCGGATTCTTAGGTCCAAAGATTGCGACTTCCACGAGTCATTCGCTGTTGCACCTCGGACATGCAGGAGTTGATCGTGACATGAACACTTTGACAACTTAGAACAAGCAAAGGGATCTTTGTTTTAAAAAAGTCACCCTTATCTTCACCGGGTCAACCCTACCCAATTCTCATAATTTGGAACTCCTAAATGGGGGGAGTTCATCAGGTCTCCCATGGCACACTCCCCCCTTCTCTCCCGAAATGGCACCGGTCTCCGTGGCTGTGCTCTGCTGGGAACCCCTTTTTCATGGCGCGGAACCCGCTCAGTGCAGATCGAGGTGAAACCCATCAGACTCGACCGTTGGAGCCCGTCGTCGGCTGCGGAAGGCAGTTCCGCTCTTTTGGCTTCCGCGGAAAAAGGGCGGAGTTCTTCTGCCCTGCGGAGTTGATTTGGGGTGGAAGGTCCCTTCCAAATAATGAACTTGACTGAGTTTTCGGGACTCTCGACAGTGTTAGACCCATCGGCTTGATAGTACCCACTTGGGTATATAACAGTGGATGATGGTTAGCTTCCAGGCCGACATCTCTAAAGTACAGTGATGATATTGTTTATTTACTGTACCGACGGCTCTACAGGTACTAGGACAGACCCCGGCACCACACGTAGATGTCTGATATGAGAACCATGTTCCAAAACTATTTTGTCTTCTTCTTTTTGTGGACTTCTTCCTTTGGACTTCTTCAGCTTGATGGAAGGAGGCAGGATGACATGGCACGTGGATCGGCGAGTACTGTTCGGTCGAAGAGGCCCTGCACCCTTGGGGACCAGTGATCACAGATATTTACGGAGTTTTATTGGTGTTTGGATGTCTTCCAAAAACAAAACACGGGGAGGACGAAGCTATATCCCACCATCTGGTGAATAGCTACTAATAGCAAGGACGCTATTAGGTGGAGGCCATCGCAAGTAATGTAGACTCTTGATTAGTAATACCCCCACATGAAGAGGACTTTTAATCCAAATGGGATGGTCTATTAATCAAAAGTCTGCATTAGGTTGGAGGCCATTCCTACCAGTAACTAAGAAGCTACGAACGTAGCAAAAACATGCAAAAACCATTACTACTAGGAGCGTTCTTCTTCGGACGCGGCGTAGCACGAACGTCGCTCCGGGCCGAAGCCACGACACGTCGCTCGCTACGACCTCGACCGGGTCGCTTCGGATCTTCCACCGACTCGAGAACCGGCTCAACGCCGCCGGACCGCCGGGACCTGGCGCGTCCGGACCGAAGTGTCGAAGCGACGAAGCGACGTCATGGTTTTGGGGGGAAGACGTGTTGGGACGTGTGGGTTTGGGAAGACGTCTTCTCAAACATCCCGGATTGGGATGGGAACCGGAGGCGGAAGCTGAAGGTGGCTCAATTCCTTCAACAAGACCAAGGCGGGATGTGATGACCATGGACCTACTGGGGTAGACGTGATCTGGTAATCAAAACGCCGGGCGCTTTAAAACTGGATCAAAAGCTGTCACTAGCGCTACTCACGTCTCCATCCCAGTCGTCATCGTCGAGACAGTAGAACTCAATGCAACCGCACACGCCGCGAAGAGCGAACTCCAGGTAGAAGCCGTTCACAGCACATGGTTGCGATTGGGGGCGACCCAAAAGCACCACTTTCCCTTTTCCAAGAGGGCCAGCAAGTAGCGCAGCCGCGCGCCCTCATGTTGATTCGCGGACGAGTCCAACAGGTGTAGAAGCTCAGCACGATCCTGCTCCCATCCGACCAGCCCCGATTCCACCGCAAAGGCACACCAATCTGGACGCCACTGACGTTGATCCCGCGCCTCGAAGAAGATGAGCTTGGCTGCGAAGGCGTTATCGCGAAGCATCCAAAGTCCCTTCCAGCGACGCAGCTGCGCGCTGCTATCCAACCACAGGGCGCTGACAGTAAGAGCGAAACGCACCGCCGGACGCCGTTCCCAGGGCGCCACAAATCGAGGAAAATGCAGATTGTCGTCCTTGTCTTCATATGCTGCAAGGACCGCCTCCAGGAGCAGGACGCTGTAGTTGGCGCACGTTCGGCCCAAGCGCGCCAGGCACGGCAAGTCCCAGTAGAGCACGCCGGCTGCGAAGACCACCTCGAGAGCTTTGACCGTCATCGGAGCAGAAACGAGGGCGTAAATAATGACAATCTATGAGCTCGGCTTGAGCAGCTCGATTCGTATTTTCCACCAGTTCCGATACACGACACGACGACGGTATCCTTCAGCGACATTTACCGATCACAAACAAGGCGTTGAATCTGATGCGCTCGATCATACTGGCTTTGATATATAATCCATGGTTCGGGGCAATACATTGAAAGGTAAAGTAGTGGAGATGAGCTAACATATAGAAAGAGGTTCCAAAATATAGAAAGTAAATACGCCGAAGTCCGAGGAGCAGTGAAGCAGAGGTGAAAGAGCCGAAGGAGGAAGAAGAAAAAGCCCAAAATAGTTGAACAATTTGGGGAATCAAAAATCTGCAGATTTGTCCGGGACCTTGGAGTTGGTGCTGCAGGTGTGGGTCCTCCATTTTGTAACCCACAACCAAGTTGACATCCGCAAGACAATGCAAAGAGATGGAAGGAGCTACGCAAACAAAAAAAAGTGTCTAGCAGCATTTATCTTCCATTGGGCCATACACGACACGGGCCGATCCAGAGATACGATACAATGACGCTTAGAGGCAAGCTCAATTGGCAAGGCCCTCGCAAATGAGTGGAAACGCAACACTTTTTTGGCTTGGATATGCATGTTCTTCGCTACCGGCGAGGAAAGCCAACCCAGTGTCTGTGGATAAGTCTTAGGTTGGCGCTCCAAAGGGGGAGATCTCTCATTTCTTCGTGACAATTGCAGTTCCAACCATCATTCTTCTGCCTTGACGCGTAGGTTCTATGTTGCTTCTACCTTGAGTGGCAGAAGTATTTTGAGACCTTCCCCAGCGCCGGTTTGGCGGTGAAACGAAACAAAGGCTGGTCGCGGCGCTGCCGTTCACAGGGCCGACGACCAAAACCATACACGATCACTGAGGTACCACCACGTCCGGTGGCGGATGGGGCATTCGAAGCCTTGGCACGCGCGCGGAAACACGCACCGGAATCGCACAGTCACTGCTACAACGCTTCGAACTTTCGAAACAAGCAAATGAGGAGGCAACATTCAAATCCCAACTCTTCCAGCCAGAACTCCTTGAGCTGGCGGGTAGGCGCCTGCGCCATCGCCGTGTTTCAGTGTCTTCAACACAGAATTACATGTTTCGTTCCAGCCTCCTGCAGGGTATGTAAGTACCACGCGAGGTTCGGCTCCGGCCGCGTCGCCTGACGCGTTGAGACGCTTCCGGGCGACGCCTTTCGTGTTGGCGCAACAAAGGCAGCTTGCCTCTGCACCGTCTTCCCCCTCGTCGGAGTCACTAGGTGGAGGCGTCTCCGGTCGGCGCCACCTGCGTGTTGCCGTCCAGCATGCTGCAAGTTGACAGGAAGTAATGCTTTGCTCGTGCTTTTTCCACGTCGTCGCAACACGCGGCCTAGTCGGGGATGTGACCGGGTCTTGCGCCGGGTCCACTTCCTCGTGGGCCTCCTGGCAAGTCAGCCCAGCTGAAATCACCATAGTGGAATATCCACTGACATCCACTGACATTATGATGTTCCCTTTTCCTACGTCAATCCGCTCCGCCGCGACGCTCGCCCAGCGAGGCTTGACCCGGACGTAGGCGTGCCTCGGGTGCGACAACAGTTTGTGCGCCCCGACGTGCCCTAGTTGCATGGTTTGGACGTTTCTGAAAACTCCGCTGAGGTGGCCACGCCTCACCTCCTCGCCGCTTGCGTTGGGCGTCGAAGTCGGTGATGCCCGTCACCGCGCGCCACTCGTCCGTGCCAAATCCTCAGCGCCACCGGCGTTTTCGCTGCGTCGATCTGTCCGGCTGGCGCATCAGAACCTGAGGACGCCACGTAGCTCGAAGCTGTTGAGGTGAGCGCCCGGATTTGGTTTCTGGGTGCGGTGCTCCCAGCAACCTCCCGCTTCCAGCGACGTCTGCCTGAGTACACCTCAACGCACAAGAAACTACACATGCGAAGTCCTGCAGTTGCTGCTTAGGCCCGCACACGGCCGCGAGAGCCCCGGGTCGGGCGAGGTGCTCCAGTGGCAATGTCATCTGGGCATACCCGTTGGCCATCCTGACGTGACGACCCCGCGCGTCGCCGACGTCTCGCGTTGACGCGATGCGCGTCGAGCCTTTCAGATCGAGAGTTTTGCCTTGATCCAATAAAATGCTGGGATGCATGGCGATACGTTCGTTTGCTCGTGCCACAGGAACTCGCTACGCAAGAAAGGTATGCAAGAACACCCTGCCATATATATAGAGGATTGCAGAAGCACATCACCGGTGCCAACCGAGCCAATCCCAGCGGGAGGTCTACACGGTGGTGCAAACCGAGACGATAAGTTTGTGACTGCACCTCTGTGGAAACGTTGGTGAAGAAGGTGAGGGTGTCGAGTGTGCCACCCGGGGTAGTTGTAGATAGAGAGGGAAATATAATAGCCAGCGATGGCACGGGGAGGCTCTAGTAATTGTTGGGTAGGGCTTGGAATCTAGGAATTGTTTGCATGTCGGGAAGCGCAACGCAACCATCCACCTGATATTTGGTACTGGCCACTGTCCGAGGCCAATCAGGTGTGGTATCACATTACGGGCGTCGCGGCGAGCTAAGCTGCGGTGGACGTCTGCGCAAGTTGCCGTCGGCTGAGGTGCTTGGCGGCGGTGCTCGGTGAACGATAAAAAGGGATGCGCGACTTGTGGTGTGGCTGGTTTTCGCCCTGAGGTTTTACGCTTCTAGTGGCTACACGGCTTTGCACTGACACGTCTCACTGCGTGTTTGCGAGCACCGCTTTTGGATCCAGCCCGCCGACTTTCGACGGTCACACGGAAAGCGAGGGCGCGAGCCAATGAATGTTTGTGCAACTTGCGCGCGGGTCAGACGACTTATGACGCGACGATGCTGCGAGGTGCGCGCGCTCTGGTGCGTCATGCAGGGCGGCCGAACGGTTTACGAGTGGATTGGGGGTACGCATCCTGACCTCCATTAGCAACTTGGTGATTTGATCAAGCATCCAACTTCACCCGCCAAGGAAACTTTCATCTAGGACACTGTCCGATCCTTTTTTACAACTAAAGAAAACCATGGTTACCTGAGTTACCTGGTTTCGAATGGTTAGCCGGCCCTGCTCCAACACCTAGCTCCTATATAGAGCCCCAAAGAGTCCAATCGTCATAGCACCGAACCTGCGAGTCACACCGAACCTCCGCCCAAGAAGGACGAAAGACAAACATCCTTCCACCAACTTGATCACCCCGAAGATGTCTGGCCTGGAACCCCAGTCCCAACCAGAAAGAAATGGATGGAACTCCCCAGTCCCAACCATTTCCTATGTAAAGGATTTCAAGCAAGCCATATTGGAACAACCATTTGTTTCTGGTTGTTTGGGGTTCCAGGTGGCCATGTCATTTCACAGGAAGACCTGTCTGGGTCGTCCCCATCTGGGTCTTCATCGCCCGAAGCTCCATCGCCCTCTCCATCTCCCTCGGTCATGTCGACCCCCAAACCGACTCGGCGGGCCCTGCGCCCACGGACACGGCGCCGCCGGTGTGTGGTTCCGCAAGTCGTCCCGGAACAAGCCATCCAAGCCCCACCAAGAGAGGTGGACAGTGACCGTAAATAGCACCCGTCACCTGAGGTACCTGTGGTACCTGTCAGGATAGTCTATCAAGGGTATAAGGACACCTCAACCCTTAAGGTTGAGGATAGTCTATAGGCTGACTTATAGGTCGCAGTGGTTGAAGAACCTTAAGGGTTGAGGATGGTCTATAATTAGGATAGTCAACCCTTAAGGTATCAATCTATACCCTGGGAGTCAAAGACTATAAAAAGAATGGTCTTTAGGGGAGCTGAAAGGGAACTTCCTTTACTCCAGCCAGTCAAAATATAGTCTTTGGACTTCTAGGGAGTCTATAGGCTTCTTCAACCACTGCGAGTCCGCCGTCCGCCCCTTCGCGTCTTCGTTGCCTTCGCCTTCGGCGTCTTGGCGTCGAGCTCCGCCGCCTTGTCGCTGGCCTGTTCGCACCGGCGAGGCGGTGGCTCCGGTCCATGCGGGTTCAGACGTTCACCCCCCCCCGGTTGTTTGGGGGGTTGAAAGCAACACACCAAAGGGGGTGAATGATGGGCGAATGGTTGGAAAAATATATGAAAGATAATAATAGGGATGAAAGATATGAAAAAGGTGAGAGTCTCGCAGTTCCGCGGGGTGGCCAGCCTGTGGCCAGCCAGAGTTGAGGGACCGTGCAGGTAAAAAATGAACTCGTACGGGTCGTTCTTGGATAGTCGCAGGAGAGCTAGCTCTCCGAGCTCTCCCTGAAACCATCATGGAAGCGGACGTTCCGAATACCAAGAGGGGGTGCCATCCACTTCGATTGTTGGGAGAGCTAGGGTAGGCGGAGCCCGAGCCCCAGCCCCGTTCTGGGGCGAAACCCCTGGTCACCGGCACGGTGCGAAGCATGACCTTCGAAAGCGACCGATGCTCGACACAAATGGCAATGGTGCCGATTGCCTAGCGCTTTCTGTTTGGGTGTCCAGTCTGGTGACCTATAAGCAGTGTAGGGTTGTCCAGCCAGGTAACCCCTTGGAAGCAGCTGGTGCACATTTGTAGGGAGTCGTAAACTAGCCTGCTTGAGGTCCCTGCCTGCCGGTGAGTTGATATGAGTTGATCTACAATCCATGCAAGGGGTGATCTTTAGGTCCACCAAACGGACTCAATCGATTCCCTCTCTTCCATCCCTCTTACTCCAATAGGATTGCTCTTCGACCATTCATGCATTTGATGGGATAGAATCGGATAGAGCTCTTTTCCAACCAATCAAGGAGAATATGAGAAGCATCCACCCTCTAGAATGGCCGCTCGGCGCGTTTTGGCTACTGGCCGTCACCCCTGAAAAAAGAAGACCTTCAGTTCTTCCATCCCTCGAAAGTGCAAAGCGACCAGTCACTCTCTCACACACTAACATGGACCTTGAGACGTGACCCGTGTGTAGTCGAAACGGTTTCGACCATTTCTCTTCGTCCCACCCAGTGGTTTTGGGTGTGAATCTAAAGTTGACTCTCTATAAAACATGGAGGTTCTCACAAACCCCACCCTTTGCGTATAGAGGAGTGCCTAGTTGTTCCACCATGAAGGGTGACCCAGTAGTGACCGGGGGAAGGATTGCTTCGCTCGGCCTCTTTCTTGAGGCGGTCCCGCTCGTTGGCGAATTCCATGACGATCCGCTCGTCCTGAAGCCAACAGCGTGCTTGTTCGATCAAAACAGTTCTTTTTCGTTAGAAAAGTGGCCGCGGATGGCGCCAGGATACCTTGTGTTTCGGGTTCTGACCCATCCCCAAGTTGCTGGGGAACAGGTAGACACCATGTGTGGACATTACAATATATATATATATATACACAGTAAATGTACCAGCACCTTGCTTCTATACACAGTAAATGTACATACGATGATATATCATATATCCCATCCCAGCACCTTCGGCGCTAAGTGCACACGCCGGCGAGCAGCTGACCCGGAAGAAGGTTTCCAACACGCCACACCGAACGCCCTAACCTGGCACGGTTGAGGTGTCCAGCACGAATAACAACCCATTGGCATCGCGTGGACACTGGGACACTGCAAAGTGCGAATTGTAACACGATGTCAACCAAGAAGTCAAGGAGTCATATTCTTGAACCCTGCACCACCTGAGAAGGAAAACCAAGGCCTTTATGGTCTTAATGGTGGTTTTCAAGGTGGAGCATTCATGTGAAGCCGCGATCTGTTTTTTCTGCACGAAAGCCTGGCTCACAGCATGTGATGGAGCTCGGCATACCCACATCCATATTCCACAGCAAGGAGCTCGTCGACACACACTTCGGGAACATCGAAAAAGTTTGTCACGGTCTTGCAATTCATGTCCTTGTACATGTATATCTTCTTGTCGTGGTCTTCCATCGCTGACCCCACATGATCACTGTAGAGGACTGTGTATATGGTTTCATGACCGGCTTTCGTCGACAGAAGGGTTGCATTCACTGTATTCTTGCCACCTGTCTCGGTGGTCATTGTGCCAAGCATCTTTGTACCATGGGAGGTGACCATGCTCGGTGTCTTCCACTGCTCAAGACCACTCTCTTCAGCTTCTAGCCAGAACTTTTCTTGAACTTCGACAAAAGGGTCAATGTAGCCCTTGGGACCTTCCTCTTCGTATGTGAAACAGTCAGTTCTGAGCTCATCCCACTGCTTGTCATAATCTGTCACCAACAAGTATCGTGTCACCATGCGGTTGACCAAGTTGTTCCAACCGAGAAATGTGGTGTGGCGAGTCACAGCTCCACTCTTAGGCATCTCTTGGAATTGAATCCAGTGGTCAGACACAGCCGTCAACCACCAGAGCTTTCTCTTGTATGACACGCTTCCTCCGCTCTTCCATGTCCCAGCACCATCCGTCGTCACTTGCCCATTCACCTTGGCGGAGGAGGGCAATTGCAAATGCGGGTGCTGGGACGTGTCCGACTTCTCCTTCTCGTCGTCCATCGTGAAGCGCGCGGCATGTGCGGCACAAAGAAGAATGCCAAGAAGCAAACAAGAAGTATTGGGCAACATACCAAGGTGAAATTCGCGCAGCCGTACCCGCTTTGGACAGTCGACTGCGGCCTGCGGTCCAAAAGGGGAAAAAGTAGCAGAGCAACACAATCTGCGACTTTTTGGTTTGAAAAAAACCACATGGCATGTTCCAACTGCCCAGACGCTCCGTGACAGCTCGACCTGTGTGGTCCCTCCAACTCCAGGTCCGACCCCGAAGGCGTCGAAGAGGATTCGGGGGGGTTCGCGGAACTCGGGGAGTTCGGCGTCGTCTTCACCAGGTGAGTTCAACACGGATAGCACACGGATTCCGCTTGGTGGCCTAGTTTTCAACGCGTTAGACCTAGTCCTGAGCCCCACTGGCCCGGTCGATACACCCCAAGAAAAGACCCCGCCCAGGTTCTAACAGCCAGTTTGGGTGCGCAGACTTCCAACTTGCATAGTCGTATATAACCACCAGAGGCTTTGTTGAAAAAAGTAAAAAAAAAAAAACTCGAGGTTTTCGAGGTGTTGGGGGTGGTGAGAGGCCACCAGAAACCACCCCAACACCCAGCTCACCCCCCAAATATCTCTCGCTCCTCACCCGGTGCAGTGCTCATCTTCCTCCTGCAGCGCACACAGTGGAGCCCACCCACGGAAAACGCCGCTTTTTCGGAGGAAGGGGTGCCGCCATTTGGATGGTCAACTGAGTCAACTTGGCTCGCTCCGCGGCCCAGCGACCCCGGCTGGACGACCCGTGGGACGGGCGAAGCAAACGTGGAGAGCGTGACCAAGTGAAAAGGGGGGCTATCCATGGAGGTTAGGGATGCCCATGATCCACCGACCGAGGGATGCCCAAGACCACCCCATACATGTGACTCCTGGTACTTCAAAAGTGCTAACCACACATGTTGCCCAGGTGTCTTTGGAAGTATTTGGGTGTGCCATTGGGTTTTCGGGATGAAAGAACTGCTTCAAGTAGATTGGAAACTATACTTGCATGGTTGAGACGCTGTACATCGTCGCCCACTGGATCCACTGGATCCGTGGTTTGGTCGCCCCGCGGGGTCTCGACGAGCGCTGCGTCGGTGGCCACGGGTCGCAAGGCGGCAAGGAGTCCACGAAGCAGTTCGCTTCTTTCGACAGGGATTTGATGGGAAACCTAATGTAGACTCTTGATGGATAGGCCCCAGACGTGAATGCACGTACTCCTCTTCATATTGGTTGTTTTATTCATCAAGAGTCTACATTTCGAAGCAAAAAGTGGCCAACAGCTCCATGGAGGATAGGTGCTGTCGAGGAAGTCGGGGGTCTTCTCAACATCCATTGGATGGGTCTAATACAAGCAACTCCTTTCGAACTCCTGGGCTTCATGATGATTCATGAGTCTGTGACTTGGAGACTCACCCTCATGCCCCCCCTCGGGACACTGTGGGCTGTAGGTCATTCTGGCACCCTGGCCTACAATGAATAGATTCCTCTAATAAGGGAAATCAATGTTCCATGGTTTGGTAGAAGAGGTTGCGTTCCTCACAGCCCGTCGGGGATCACCCCTACTGTTCTCACGGCCCCCCCCAAAAAGAACGCCACCAAGTGGGGGCGGCAGCGAAGAAAGTGGGACTCTGACAGGGACACAGGCAATCCAGATGCGTTGAACGAAACCATAGGGCATCTCACTTAACGCTGAGAGGAACTGGAAGAGTAAAACATACAACAAGCAGGAAGAAGGCCAGGAGTTCCGCTACCGAACGCACGGAGGTCCAGGGTAGGCCCCTTGTCACATCCACTCACTTAGAGATTAAAGACCGTGACCATGCCTTCAGAACTGCTGGAAGAACTAAAACCCTTGCGGACCACTGGCCGACTGGCCTCACATCTGAACTTCGCAGGGCGTTTTTCGGACCAACGGACCGACGCAGGTCCGGATGGTTGAAACCAAACACCTCCCAACTCTCTACCCCCGCGGACGGGCTCCCGAAGCAGGAAAACGCCAACGAGCCGCACTCGGCTGTTGGATCCGCTGTTGGTTTCCGCTCATCGACTGGGGTGCCCGGCATCTTCTCGTCTTTCACCTTGAGACGCGGGATGGGGCGACCCCTCGGAAACCATCCGGCGCGTCCGTGAACCCGAAGAACGGCACCAAAACGGAGCACCTACACCACGGGCACCATCAAAAACCCAGGTCTGTCCCAATTGTTGGAATCTGTCGCATGAGACGGCGAGTTCGAGAGATCAGGTATGCTTCTCTCGAAGGGTGGTCAGCAAAAGCCAAGCGGAAAAGACCCTGTTTCATGGGATGTTTCATGAGTGAAAATTGGAAGCACACATCGCAAATCAGCTTGCGGCAAAAAAGCACCAGGCTGTTATTGCTATCCACCAAAAACTCTCCTGGCATCCATGGCAGCGAGCTGCCCAGAGAAACCCCCCCGCCTCAGTAGAATGACCTCTGAAGATGTCTGCAAAAGGAACAAAAATATCAAAAAAGAACACGTTGAAAGCCTTGCTTCCCCCAACGAACTATCTTCTCCTTGTCAACCTGGAGTGGATGCCGCCCTGTTCCTCTCTCCGCCCTCCTTCGAACCGCTTCGACTCCTCTGAAGGTTCGGACCGCCATGTTCTCGACCGCCATAGTCACCCGGCAGTTGCTGCGCAAGAACTCCTAGCGAGATGAGTTTCTGCCATCCCCGAACTGAATGACTCACGAAGAAGAAGAAGAAGAAGAAGAAGAAGTGCCCCGTCATTCAGTCCGTGACTTTGACTTCAAGAGTTCACCACCATCAGGTGCCGATGTGCCCCACCACCCGGTCAGGTCCGAGTCGAACGTGGCAAGGTGCAAACCGAGCGGTTTGAAGGAGTGGTTCTAAGCACAACGGCGAGTTGGCGGGCTGAGGCGCGAAGCAAGCCAAGAGATGGAGCAAGAATCCCTTTCAACATCTCTCCGAAGCGATGGCTGTATATGTCGACATTGGGAAGCTTCCAGTTCACCTCATGTCGAGGACAAGTCGATGACCGAAACCGATTTTGCCCTACTGGGCCACTGGGATGATGGACACCCAAACCTTTGAGCTTCACACCCCGATACAACAGACATCTGAGACTCCAAGCCTGAGAAGGAGGAAGAGGAGGAGTTTTGAACTCCACCTTCAAGTTCTCCCAGTCTCATCTACCCATCTCCTTCCCACAACTGTTGACTCGAATCATCAACCCCAAGCAAGTCCCACCCAGCACGTCCCACTCAGCAGGTCCCCACCCTCGCTCCACCCGTCGCATCGTCGCCTTGTCGCCCAGCAGCTTCTGCTGCGCCGCAAAGACGCGGCCCTGCGCCTCGTTGGTCATCTTCACCAGCCTGGACCACCCCGAGCTCTTCGGTCTTCGGTCACCGAAGAGGCGAAGAACCCCTCCGCCCCGTTTGGGGGGGGCGGTTTTAGAGAACACGCCCCCCGTGACATCCCCCCGATTGACTGTAAGACTAAGATGTATGTTCCAATCACCACCCATTCATGGGTGGTGATTGGTTGATATTGCTTGATGTTGCTTGATGGGGGGAATCTCTTATACACCAAACTTTCACACTCCAAGTCAGGAGCTCAACCCCTCATGATCCACCCATCGACTCAACCGTTCCCATCGACCCACGCAGCGCTGCTCTCCCGGGCCCAGGTGTTTTTCCGCAGGATTCCAAAGTTCAACCCGTAGCGCCTGCAAACATACGTGATGTCTTGATGTGTTTATGTGTGTTTTTGAATTGCTACTCTCGTTTCATCGCGTTTCTATTGTTTGATTGTATATAAATCTATAAATCCACATTTATGGATGCATTCTACACCGAAAGCCCCGGCTTTGAGACCCAATCTTAGTGGCGCCACTTTACACACAACCACGAAAACACGACTTCTTAATCATCGGGTAACCCAAACGTATTGAAACGACGCGGCTTCCGCGTCACGCGGAGAAGGGATAATCCTTGCAAAAGGGCAGGAACAAATTCCTCAAAGCTAGCAGTCTAGCTGAGGGTGAGTTTCATTCCCCAGTGTTGCGTCCAGGTAGTGCGTCGGTTCCATCCGCAGTTCACATCCTCACCGGAAAGGATCCGATCCCCCGACCCCAGCAGCGGCTTTGAGCTTCAGCGGACCTGGAATCCGGCATCTCGGCATGCGCACTCTGCAGGAATTCATGCACCACTTGGACCTGCGAAGTCAGTCGGCACCGGAGGCACCGGAGGAGGCCCAAAGGCAAAGAACAAAAAAAATCCACCCACAACCACCGGTTTCTCCCGGGCGGGTTGGGAACTGCAGCTCATTTGACTAGAAGATAAGATACTAGAAGTTTTTCTCCGCACTTTGCAACTCTGTTTGCTTCGGTTGCCTTGTCTTGCCAACAGGAACCACCAGAGATACTCGTACCAAAACACGAGGTTTGGTTTGGTTCCTGGTTTGGACCTGGCTACGACTGGCCCCTGTAGTCGCCAGAAGCGCGACCCAAAAAGGCCCGAAGCAGCAGCGCCCCGAGGAGTTCGACCACCATAGACCTAGAGCCCCAGATCTTGACTGGTCTGAGGTCACTCAGGCTCCAAAAAGGGTCAGTCAGGGGGGAACCCAAAGCTGCGGCGCGGGGCAGAGAGAGTTCACCCATCCCCTTCTCTGCTCGTCTCTTCCAAGGGACGAGTTCCCCAAAGAAGCCCGGCAAATCAGACCTCACAGCCACGCGGGGCGCGCCGAGCCGGGGCGAGCGCACGACGTGCTCACTGTTTTCGGCGTTGGAGAGGCTTTGGGAGATTGGACACCTCTGCCGAGGGGGGCCCTAAGGCGTCATGTTCGACGGATCTACTTGAGTTCTGCTTCAGTGCAAAAGGGGGGAGAGTAGTGCGGGCCAGTGCCCGCAAAGACCCTATACTGTACCATGGAGCATCAGCATACTTCACCACCCTTTCCCAATGTCCCGTGGCTTTCCACCCTTGAGGTATTGACCCTGCGTGTGAGCAGCTGTAGCCCTTAAGAGCCGGTTGCCCCGGTGCGTGCCCCCATGCCTGGTAGCTGTGCTTGTAGCTATCCAGTTTGGGTGGTGTGTGGGCATAGACAGATGTTTCGTAGACCCAATCCCAGATTTGAAGACCGCTGCACAGTTCGAGCATTGGAAGACCCCATTGATGTAGCTCCCTCCCTCCAACAAAAACGCCCTGCTGCTGGAGGAAAACAAACTTGCAAGGGGCCATGTTCCACTTCATGCTTGTCGGATGGAGGGTATAGAAGTGTGTTGGAGTAGATAGAAGGTGGAGGTCACAATGCCGATCACTTAATTTCAGTGAGCAAATCAAACTGAATTTGAACCCTAACTGATTGATTTTTCAATCAAACAAAGCAAACCTCTATGTGAAGCGACCCGCTCCCTCCCATGTCCCGCTCCCCGCTTCCGTCCGATGCTCCCCCCTCCCATGTCCCGTTGCTTTCTCCCCCCACGACTGGTGCGCCGCCGGCAACTCTCGAATGGGGGCCTCGGCCGTTCCGGTCCACGGAGCCGGTGGTCCACGGCCCCGGCGCCAGGAGGACCAAGACAGATAGACCAAAGAAGGTGAAAAAAAAGGGCTCTAAAGCCTGGTTCTTGGTCCTCCTTGAGTCATGGGTTCTTCTATGACCAGTTCCAATATCTGATAGAAAGGGCGGCTCCATTTCAAGCTCCAAGGGCTCGGGCACGTCTGACCAGTCCACTGGTCAAATGGAACACATGACGAGTCAACCAACCGAGATCGGGCGATGTCTGGGTCAAACCATCTTCTTTGAGATCCTCCGATCTGGCTGGAAGCTCTGAGATCCGTTGGAAGAAGGTGAGACAGTGAAAGTGAGTGATTTCTTTCTGAAAGTGATCCGTTCGTCTTACACTCTGGAGCTCACACATCACATGGTTACGTGGATGGCATGACCGTAAGGAAGACGACTTTCCTCTACAAACAGTGGGTGCCATCCACTTCCATGTTAGTGATCCGTTCGTGTTAAATGTTCAAGCATTACTTACACGAATGCTGGGAAAACCCGTCAGTTGAAACATCCCCCAACGGTCGGAACTATGGCTGGTCTTTCGGCCGCCCGCGTTGCGGGGCGGATGAGCGATTCGGCGAATCCAAAGCCTGGCCGAATCCTCTTCCAGTGTACATGGTGTTGCGGATGTTCACCAACTATATACATCTGTCATGTTAGATGTCCAAAACTGTAGAAATTGGTGGAACATCAAGTGTCTTACTTCTGTTCATATAAACTTGGATGTGCTTAAGGAACCTGGAGAAAAAAGAAAAAAGACTGCCAGAAGGGGATTTGCCCATTGGGAAAGTAAAACTAGGTAAAACTCTCCGAGTCATTGGGGGGGCGCTTTGATGCATCCACCGTCAACACGCCTCATGGATCCGCCCCCACAACTTCCCCTTCTCGGCTGCGGCGCCAGAGACTTCCGAAGCTTCTGCGCCCAGCCTGGGGAAGAATCTTGGGCCGTTTGGGGTTTTTGGCAGCTGATCTGTCGATCTTGACTTCGCCTAGCAACCCAGTCATCGCGAGCAGCATGTCACTACATCTCCCCTGACTGCCGTCCGCACAGTCCGCACAGTCCAAGAATGATGATTTCCATGGAGTCAAATGATCCAATGACTTCTGGGAGTCAAACTCCAAGGAGTCCAAGAGTCAGTTCATGATTTCTTCGGATGTTGTGGGAGTCCAAGACTATTCTTTAACATGGTCCAACTTGGGGGCCCGATTTCAGCTTATGTCCTCCAACGGTCATAGTCGGTCAGAATGAACTCATCGTAAAAAAGAGTTGTTCACTGGAATATGACTTCGTTCGAAGTCCTGTGCCTCGCCTCTCGTAGACCGGGGAGCCGGATCGGTCCGGATCGGTCGGACGTCCGATCGACGAAACGGGACGGGGGCTCCGGACGGGTGAGGCTATCCACCAAGAGCGTGCTCTTCTTCAAGTGCTCCTGGATCTCCTCAGTTGACGATGCCCGAAAGAAACCCTGGAGCCTGGAGCTCAGGACCAGGACGGACCAGGACACCGTGCCCGAAACCGCTGAGCGGTTTCGAAGCCCTCGGATGCCCCAGGGCGAACGCGAACTCCCAGCATGCTGACGCTCCGATCGGGTGTTCTCTCGCTGATGTTTTGTTAACACCGATCGTGTACCCGGGGTGATCGTGTGCCCGGTGTGTCTTTCACCCGAGTTCAGCCCCCCCATGGGCGCCACACACACAGATAGATGGCTCACAAGAGCAAGACTCAAACGACTCAACGAGTGCATGACCACTTAGACTTTAGATTCTAGTTATTGCATTACCACACTAGAGAGCTGAAAAGCTAAAATCTGCAAAACGGCCCTGTGAGGAACAGAAAGGTAAGGACGTCGGCTAAACAGTACTGTTTAAATCACTCAACTCAAATCCGCAGGTAGGTTCACAGAGCGTCCTCTCCGAATATCAGATCCAGTCAGCAGCGTCTTTGTTAGGCAGTGACTGCTGAAAAGACCACTGCCACCCTGCATGGTTAAAAATTCAGAAAGTGTTGTCGATCCCTTAGAAACAGGGATGGACACACACACACACACGGGTGTGTAATTTAGGAGACGGAGACCGCCTGGCAATGGGTAGACTGCATGGTCTACTTTCTATTTATGCAGGGGGTGCTTGCCTGGGAGGTCTCCCTCACCATACCAAAATGGTCCAAAAGGCAGGAGAAAAAGCCGTTCTCCAGTCCAGTCGTCTCTCGCTTGGCGCCGTTCTCTCCCCTCCCCGCTATTCGGCACTGGCCCTCCGAGCGAGCGGCGTCGTGGTCGCGTCGGACGTCGTCCAAGAGCTGCTCGCACTCCACCACCTCGGCGCCTAAACCTGACGTCGACGCGAGGCCGCTCGATGGCGGCCCCCCGTCGACTCGACCCAAAGCGTCTCCCCACTTCGTCAGTTCCCGGAGAAACGCGCAGCGCCGGGCCGTGGACGGTGAAGGAACAACGGCCGAACCAGCCGAACCAGGCCGGGTGCGGAATCCGTCTGGGAGGCGCCACGAAGTGGCATCAAAGTCATCGATGTTCCGCCGGGTCGAGAACTGCAATGACTCAAGTCTTGGCTATATTGGCGCTTCTGGGGCTTCGAAAAAAAGAGGCCTCTTCAGCAGTTCCTGAAGTCATAGTTTTTTTCTGTTCTTGGCTTGAAAAACATAGATTCTATGCCTTCTGGCGCTGTCTTTGTTCGCTGAACGGATTCGGTTCGGGGAACGGAAAGATGCTTTTCCAAACGCGTTCGCCATTTCCAACGCTCGGAATGGGAAGATGCTTTTCCTCTACCACATAGCCTGACTGTTTGGATATCAATCCTTCATCCATGGTTGCATGTAGGGAGGAGTAGTCAGTGAGTGGACCTCAATTAGAAGCCAAGAGACATAAGGTCTTTGAGTCGTTTGCAAGCTATGGAAAAAAAGACACACACAACCTGTTTCTCATCTTGGCCCAAATGTGCCCAAATGACAGATGGTATCAGTTGTTCCTCACCAGATACCAGTCCGGCAATTCTCACGCTGAAGGCCCTGTGGGGCCATGGTCGTAATCATCATCCCAAAGCACTGGAGGTGAAGTCCGACCAGTACCACCCGCCCAAAGCTCACAAAGGAAAGGGCCATCGGGCACATGGATATTCCTTTTCCGAAGTCGAGCTTGCTGTTCCTTCAAGTTATATACTGCTTCAGTCCAGTTATACAATATACCCCTGCTTGATGTTCATGCTGAGAAGATGAACCGCTAGCAAGATGTGATACTTACGCGCAAAGAAACAAAGGCAAATGTCTTTCAACTCCTTTGGCTTTCCGAAAGTGTCCGGCTTGGGAAATCCCAGAAGCAACAGAGGTGTCAACCGGGCCGCCTGTTGGCAACAGGCAAGAGGGACCCCACTACACTTTCAGTGTCTGTTTTCCCATCCCCAAATCCGTGGGACGAACTTCCCCAACATCCTCTGGCCTCTGGTCTCCGGCTTTGCATCGACCAGTACCTGGCGATGCGTCTTCGAACACCTCGTGCGCTTCGAACGCCGAGACACCGAGACCGCGGATCGGTCGGACCGTCCGGAGATCTCTAAAGCACTGACTGAAACTGTGGAATCTTCTAAGATTCTTCGGCAGTCAAGAAAAACACGTGTGCATTGTCTAAAAGCAACATCGCTACAACCCAAGCAAAAACACCAAGCAGAAATACATCATCATACATATAGATGATCATACTGTGATCATAGGTGATCACCTACATCGTCATACCTTCTGAAGAATCATACACCGGCAGCAACTAGCCAGGGGTGGTTATTGGATGGAAACAGCCAGGGTGTCCATAAATATCCACTATTGCGTGGTGCTGGCATATGATCGTATGATCCTATTTGCAAAGTTTTACAGAAGATTCTTAAACTATATGCTATACCCTAGGGCTCCAAGTACCTCCTCAGAAGGTATCTGGACTCAACTTCCGCTTCATCCTTCCGATCTTTCATCGCTCCACCAGCCAGGGGGAACGACGCGGGGGATCGATTTCGGGTGGACCGAGTGGTAAGCGGTTCACTCGGTTCAGCTCTCGAAACACATGAGATATGATATTGCCTGAACCTCATTTAGAATGTTTGTAATTTACATATTCATTGAATGGCACTGATATTTTCATGAAAATGTACATACCTGAAAGCTTGAACGTCGATTGAAGCTTCAGGTATGTGCATATTCATTAAAACACCAATGACATTCAATGAATAAACAACAAAGGCTATTGATAGTTGCATCGGACATGAAAAATACGATTGAAAACTCACAAACCTCGAACCTCCCGGAAGCCTCCATTGTTCCTGTGCTGCTCAGAGTTGATTTTGGAGGATATCCCTGACACCACCTAAAAGCCTCGCATAAAGAGAATACAAGAGCTGGAGGATGCTCACATGCTCTATACTCCTTCCACGGTGTTGATATTACGCCTGAAATGAGACCCCATAGGCCTCCCCCCGACCAAGCCAAGGGCACATTCTCTCGAGGACGTCCGGCCTGTCAATGTGTCAAATTGGCGAAAAGCCGTGGTCGACAAGGAACTGAGATTCAGAATGACCGGCTGGTGCATGTACACAATCATTCGGACGTAGATATAGCGAGAGGGAGTATGAAACCTTCTGCAGATATGGCGAATGACCTTTGAAAAACCATTGAGTCAGACTGCTTCTAAGACCCGAGTGTCTCATACATACCTGGATCAAACCGAACTTCTGCAGTTCTGAACTGCCTCTTCATCCAAGTCGTGTCCAAAGGCTAGCGGCTGTGCCAAAACCGAGAAAGAGCACACGTCCTCGATCGGACTGAAGACAGGTCAATCCCCTGGGCCCCTTACACTCATCATGGACTCATCGAGGGCACCACCGGTTGGTAGGGGAAGAAAAGGGTTCATCCAAACTCGGGGCCGCCATGGCAGGCAGGCCACGTTGAGCGTTTCAGGGAGTCTAAATCCTCTATGTTGACCGCCAAAATGAGTGACCATCAACCAGCCTTATCTTGTACCCCACTGGCTTCATATATCCCACTGGCTTCAACATACAGCTGCAGTTGATGATCCTTACCGCAAACATGAAGGATTTGGTGAGGATCTTGGTGATTTGGGGGGACTTTGTTGTGTCTAAGTGTGGCTCACGAGCGTCTGTGCAGCATCCAGATTCACCCCACATGTTGGCATGCATGTCCATCCTCGTTACAGGAAGCAAAAGAACTATGCGTGTGATTCCTGAACAAAGGAACTCCTGGATGGCTCCACTTCTGACAGTTGGTCAATCAAATGCCCTGAGCAAATCCTAGAGAGCCAGCACCTCATTTCAATCTCACCCAGTCTAAATTCAGCCGCAGACTTGTTAGCTTCGCCCCCCAACCCAACCCAAACCGCCCAACCGCCACTGGTGCCCGTCACTCCCGTCTCCCGCCACCCAAACCGAACCGCCTGCGCTCGTCGAACCGCGCCTCCTCCTCTCGGAGCTGCCGCAGATGGTCCTCCGACTCGCGCACCGTGCAGCGGAGCCTCGGCAGCAGAAGCGCGCGGTGGGTCGAGGTGGTTGTTCGGTTGTTTCGGTCCGCCAAGGAGATAGGAAACGCCTTCTATAGGTACCCAATCTAGTGGGAATGGACGTTTCTGTCATATTATGTCTATTCGTCCGCGCGCGCGCGCGCCACCTCGCCGCGCCGATCGGAATGGTTGTTTCACCCCAGCTGAGCCGAGCCTGGATGCTTGGAACGAAGCATGGGTGGTGGCTGAAAAAAGATACCCCTGCCGCTGCCAAATGCCAAGATGGCTCTGACTGACAGGTCGGCAAGACCTGAAGTTAGGCTGAAAGAGCTGAGAGGAAAAGCACTCCCCACCCAAATGCGACCTGTTCCAACGAAACCCGGAGCCTGATCAAACGGCTGTGTTTCTTGCTTTGGGGATGAAAAGGTACCTCTTCGTAGTCTCAGTTCGATACCTCGCTGGGACCTAGGCCCGACTTCAAGTCGGTCTCAATTGACCTGGTCTCAGTCGGGTGCAGGTCTTGGGCCGTCTTCCAACATCCCAAAACCCCATGAGACCTGGCTCCGCAGCACACACGCGGTGTGAGACGCGGCGTGTTGAGGAGGTGGAAGACGACGGGTGAGTCGGACGCTGAAAAGAGAAAACACGCGTGGAGCAACACTGTGGACCAACAGCAATTGTTTAAATGGCATAGAAGTTGTCTATTGGTTCTACAAAAATCAATATTCTTCTATTGGTTCTATTCTTATATGGACTTGTCATTGGTTCTGATGCTGCACTCCGTACTCCGTCCGGTCAGTGGCGTTTTCTTGGCTTGACTTTCTTGGAAGAATCCAAAGTTTGAAGCATGACCCAGACACTCCACGTATGCCATATATCATATATGCATACACTGACCCCCCAAACCACCCCAATGTAGGCATATATGGGTGAGGGAAAAAGGTTAAATGGCGTTGTCAGAAAACACAATAGTCGAAACACGAAAACCACTGCCAATCGAGTGGACAAAGTCTGACGAGAAACACAAGAAACCTCATCATGATGCCATCTTTTGGGAAACACTGCTTACTGTAGATCACCCGGATCCTGTCTGCGGCCCAAAAGACTGTTCATGCTCCACATCGCGGTTCAAGAACCTCGGCCGAACATCCATCTGCGATCGCTTCGTCGTTTTCTTGGGTCCCACCGGCTGAAGGGCTCTGAAAAAAGTGACCGTATACATCTCGTACCCCTAGAAGTCCAACCCCCATTTATCCAATAGCCTTTGACCAACAACCCTTGTTTTACTAAGGACTTTACACTAAAAAACAGGTTTCAACCACCGTTTAAAATGGTCGAACTGACTTCCAGGGTCTCATCCAAAGCAAGCGCAACACACCGGAAATTTCATCCCACCCTCCTCCAAACCTTCCCTCTGTCTCCAGACCACGCCTACCCACAGTGCCCCCCCCGTCCCCCGCCGCCCAAAACAAACAATCAATACCAGCACCACCCATTTCGGGTGGTTATTGGGTACAGTGTATAAAACATGCATGTATTTTAGGGGGCGTCTATCAACCACCCGAACCCGGTGGTGGTACACACGACATAACACGACACCACGGCGCTTGTGGACGATGTCCATCACATCCGTCAGCCCCGTGACCTCGCGGATCCGCTGAAAGCCATCCTCCGTGGCCTGGCGCAACGGAGTCGTGGGCACGGTCAGTTCATGAAAGGACGAGGCGGGGAAAGAACCCGAGAAATCAGCAATCCAAGAATCAAGGTCATGGACAAAATCCAAAAAAAGACTTAAAAACATGGGTGGGGCTCTTGCATGGAAATGAGCCTGGTTCCCTTTTCGTTCTGCGTGTACATGACCCACAGCCCAAGTGATTGGAGAGGTACTGTACCCGTTTGTGGTTCACTGTCAAACATGAAAGTAGAATCTCAGCCCCTCAGTTTGACCGTTTGACCCATCAAATCCTCACCGACACACTGAGCGACTTTGCTTCACTTCCCTGGGCCCATGCACACCTTCCACAGTCCAAACCACCCGGCCCCGTGCACATCCACGCAGGACGAACCTCCCGACACTCGAGAGAGAGAGAGAGAGAGAAAACGGCGCCAGGGCCCCGGCCTGACTCTGTTCAGCCTGGTCGAAGGTCAGCCGCTGAAGACAGTTGCCTGGTCGGCGACGCTCACGGTCGGTCCGAACCGGCACGGTCCACGGTCCGTAGGTCAGCGACGTGCGAGTCTGCCCCCTTCGGCAGGGCAGTTCTGCACCAGGCGAAAACGCACCGTGCAGTCCTGGCCCCCTGCGGAAGCAGTGGATCGAACGGAGGAAGCAAGGACTGCTCCCTCACAATCAGCACTGCACCACTGCCACCGATGAGTTGGCCCCACCGTCCGGGTGATTCCACACTGTGTAAGAATTCGATGGCAGGGGGTCCGGACCATCAAAACCTCTTCCATTCCGGAAGGGGGTTCGGTTCAATGAACCACGGAAGTGGCATGTATCATGAAGACCCACCACGCACATTGCCCAGCCATTTCCACCCTTGAAACAAATCATCAGTGGGACCCCCTCCCCCAACACCCCACGATGCACGTTCTGAAAACCTCTCCTGTGAGCTTTTCGATCGCATAAATTTTCCTGGCAGACGAGCAGTGACCAGCAGGACAAGACGGGAAGTGCTTCTTCCAGGACCCGTCGAAAAGAAGCCTGGTGACCAAGGTGAACCAGTGCGCTTCAGCGAACTTGGAAACGCAAAGCAACCGAAGCTCCGGGTAGACACTCTTTGAAAGAAACATGAACTTGGCTGAGTCGGTGTTGGGCTTCGCTCACATGAGATGTACCACCCGAAGAATCCTTGGGCCCTCCGTGGTAGGGGTCGGACTCGGCACGGGTCCGGACCCCTCAAAACCCTATGTATTTGAGGGCCCGGATTCTTAAGGCAGGGAGTTTCAAGTCGCTTTCGACTGATAGCAACACGTGGGGGTTGGAGCAATGTTGCATTCAGAGACTCCCATGATCGGGTCAATCTGGTGACGAAGAAAAATGGTCGGACACGCCGGTCTTGGTACGTGGTCCTTCGGAAAAGTGCCACCCACAAATAGATTTCATGGAATCCTATTCAAGTCAATCTAGCCAAGAAGCACTGAAATTGGAAGGATGAGACAAAAAGCAAAGAAGGGGGACAACGGTGACAACCCTATGGTCCGTTCCATCGCAGAAAAAGATCACCTCCTTGGCAATCTGGTCCCCCTGACCTGTTGGGTCCTCTTGTGCATTGCGTCCAAGCGCTCTCTCTTGAGAAGGTCACGACCAGTTCCCTCACATCTCCGCTTCTCACCAAACCCAGAACTTCCCCACCTCAAAGTCATCATCCACTATGCCGCAATCATTCGATGAGTGAAACGACTGGTCCGTTTCGACCACGGCGCCGCTCCATCGGTCCGTGGCGCGCGCCTATAGCGCCCCGCCATCGCCTCGAAGGCCTCCGTGGCCGCCTGCAGCCGCGGTTTGGTGCGGTGCTCGCGCCAAGCACTGGCTCAGTGCCAAGGAAAAGGCGAAACTGTTGGGAAAGAGTCCAACCTACTAGCGATGGCCTCCAAGAACTGTTGTGGGAAAGAGTCCAGTTTTACCACATGGAAACCGCTACAGGTCAGGAACGGACCACATGAAATACTGGAGTCATGATGAGTCGTGAAAAAAAAAAAAAACACTACTCGGTTTGGAGGTTTTCAGGACGACTCCATTGGACCGGACATGGACTTGGCATGTAGGTTGCTGAGCCGTCCCTCTGAGCTTGCGTCCCTCTGAGCCTGTCTGATGACACCAGAACAACCCTGGACAGGTTGCTGCATCTCTCACGTTGAAAGCCTCACCCCTCACACTGGGGTGCAACCCCCTCCCACATAGATTCTTGTTCCACCTTGTCCCCATTCACCACCCATCACTTGCTCCCCACAACACCAAGCGCGACCATCGCATCTCGCATCTCGCATCCGGTGGCTTTTTCCGCTCAAAAGCAGAACCGCGTCCGGTGGCTCCGCCGGTCGCCTCCAGGGCGACATCATAGCGCCAATTCTCAAAGTCCTCCCCCTGATTCACATCCTGGCGCCGCCTGGGAGACTTTGGGCACGTGACGGCCCGTGACAGTCGCGGGAGAGCACCAAAAGAGAAGGCACCGAAACCCGGTTTCGGAGTCGTGAAGCGCGCCGAGCAGCGCCGGAGTCGGATTCGAAAAGAGTAAGTGTTGTGGTGCGTTATTTTTGTTTCAGGAACGAGAGGATGCCATGATGTGATCCCCGGAAAGCTGGTCTTGACATGAACAAGCAGCCCCCTGACCCGCATCCTGGTACATGGTTTCAGGTGATTTTTTGAGACGTGCGAGAACGGGAATCTAGTCAAGGGAGAGCATGTCTCCTCAAAAGTTGTCCTGAGCACCTGAGAAATCAAGTTCCAAGGCAAACCTTTAGAAAGACCTACAGTAGCTACGAGCAACTCTATCCTCAACGTCCGGTTCTTCCCTCAAATGTGGTCTGATCTTGTCCAAAAGGTCCCGAAGGCAGATGGTTTCACCTAACCTAAGCCAAGGCACAACCCATTCCACCCCAAGACAAGCCATTCATTCGGCCAAGAATAAGAGAACCCCCCAAACCCCCCCACGTCCATTCCCCAGCGTAAGCCCGAGAGGCTGCTCGATGGCGGCCGACAGGTCGCTGAGGGCCGTGGTGCAGATCATCCGTTCCAGGTGCATGTCCTGAGGAAAATTACACCACCGTAGACCCCAAACAGTTTGTGTTTTTCAAAATCGACCATTCTTTAAAGCATTGAGAACCCCCAACAGTAAACTGTTTGGGGAAATAAACGTGTTTTTTTCTCAAACAAACGATACAAACGATGCTCGTACGAACGGATGGGTCTTTTTGAGTGTTTTGACCTACAGTGAGATGCCCATGTTGTGAACGTGTTTTGTTTGGTAATCTTGGACCTCAAAAAATACGAAACAAACAAACGATGGGCCAGGTTGAAAGAGCCGTCAAAAAGGGGATGTCCATACGTATAGGGGGGCTTGGATGGCTGGAGAGGGTGATTTAGGCTGCTTAGGCTTAGGCTAGTGGGGGCTTGAGCTTGGTTGTATGCCGTGCTTTATTCAAAGGGACTGAGGCTTTCATCAGTTCAAAGGACCAAGATGTTGTGCGAAAAAAGAATTGCATAAAGGATGTGTTCAATGACATGTGTCGAAGTGTCTCGACGTTGTCTCATGCATGTGCTTTTCTCTGAAAAGTCTTATATGTTGCACTGAAAATGGTTTAAAAGCATGCGTGACAGAAACTTGTTTTGTTTCAAAACATGTTTAGGGTAATTACATGGCATCATTGCTGGACTCAATTCTTCATTAAGTATGGATGTGTGTTTGAAGACCAATGACTGTGTTATAATATATACAGTCGTCTATGTCTCGGACCGTCCTTTTGGTCAATGAGAAATTTTGGACCTGGAAAGACTCTGTGCAAATCCTTCTGGTTCTTCGGAAACCTCCCTCCTATCTAAAGGACAGCAATGCATTGGTGACGTCCGAAACATGCTCGGTGCTTCAGCATGAAAGCATACAAAAGGAGCAGGCAGTGATTGTGTCGCGATCGTATGTCGTGACCCGAACTCCGGGGTCGCATCCAAAAGGAATGGAGGAAAGCTCCGAACTGGAGTGAAGATGAAAAGGGTCCGGAGTAGCACTCCATCCAAAAGGGATGGAGGATCATGTCGAAGACTTTTTGAACATAAACAAACCGTCTTCTCGCTACGTCTGCCCAGAAGTACCCTAGCATCTTTGCTGAACAACGAGCAACTGCTCAAGACGTTTGCCAAATGGGACATCTCCCGTCTTTTTGTCCGATGTGTTGGACAGGATGTCTTCTTCCGTGAAGCAGTGCACGGCGATGCGAACGTTTACGTGATGGCACCACCGTCCGGTCCCTTCGGATGCCGACCGAACCATGCGATCCCTGCGGACCCCCGGTGCGCGCACCCGGTGACAGTGCTGAGCTCGATCCGCCGAGCTCGATCCGCGTCGCTCGAGCGTGTTCAGCATCGAAAGCTGTCTCAGCTCGTGGAAGATGCTTCGGTGCTGAACACGTCCACGAGGACGAAAACACACGTCCGGAGGTAGGGTGCGACGGAAGGCTGAACTGGTGAACTGGTGCGACGAAAGGCTGAACGGGAACGCCCGAAACTTGAGAGACTTCCGAAGCCAGCCACCCTCGTTCCCCTACTTTCGTCGCACAAGTCAGTTATGTTTTCAAAAACTCAAGACTGATCAAGGGAATATCCTTTCCTGCTTCACCGTTTTTCTCGGGCCGCTGGATCCAAAATGACCCTACTTTTAGCCTTTGTTCCATCCACCCTGCCAAACCCTCCGCGCAAACATGGTCAGTCCCGCCTGCTCCAGGACTTCCAACTTCACCATCTGCCCCACCTGCCACACGGGTGGACGCCCTTGTGGAGAGAAAGCTGTCCTATGATGTCCTTTTTGGGGGTCGAAGCATCTTCAACGAGCTCAAGCTTGCTACTTCCAAGCACAAAGCGACATGGCCTACGGGACGTTCATCTACTTGTCTCCTATGGTTTCTAGTTGTGGGGATGTAGCATTTAGTTTTGGCCCTATCTTCCACAGTGGCATGGTGGATGGCTTTCGCCAGCAAAAAACGCCGTCACCACGCCGTCACGACGCACGTGCGACCGTGCGGCGTCGTATTTGGTCTCTCGCTGCCCAAAGTCCCGGCCCATCTGTCCACCGAAAAAAATTAAAAATGCATTAAGAACATGTTGTTCTAAGTGTATTTGTGCGTTGTCTTTCTTCGTGACGTTGTTCTTGAAAAAGGTTCTTCGCGGTCTAAGACGGTTCTTCCAACATGTTGCATCTCCATGCTGCTTGACCGGAGAGTGTTATGTTCTTATTTGCACCACCCAAACGTTTAAAGAAAAGACACCACCGATGCGTCGCCCACCACCCACCTTCTCCTCATTCACGCGACGGCTGAAGTTCTGCTTGGTCTCCACCTCGCGGTGCGACGGCGAAGTCCACGTCGCGGCGCCCGTCCCGCCCGGTCGCACGCGTTGGGTCGGCGCGACCGGGGAGGTCGACCGTACTCACCATCCATGACCGTCTTGGAGTCAAATCAGATGCACGCTCCGGTGGGTGAAGAGCAGACTCCTGTGGGTCTGGGAGACTCCGGTGGGTCTGGGGACCCATCATGCTGCACATGTCCGGTGCGCCACACCGGACATACCGGACCGGTCTGTGCAAGGTGTGGTAGCGCCACGACCTGGATCCAATTTCTGAGGCGTTCTTTAGAAAAGACATATAAATACAAATCTTATATACCTGGATCTTCCAACTATGCAAAAGTTCAGCATTTTTGGCTGATTTGTATGGATGAAAAGGCAGAGATGTTGCACAGGTGGAAGATCTTGGCATAATACACGCAGTACCCCGGGTCTTGTGGGTCCAAGCATGGCAAACGTGGGCTTGCTTCGAGTCCGTGGGCGATCTGCCACCCCTACCGCTGGCCTGCGGGTGGGTTTCCCCCCAGCACAATCCGACCCAATCTGTTCAGAATTCGGAGTGGCCTTCGGTCCTTGTGCAGGAGTGTCGTTTGTCGTTTCTGAAAGAAAACACGGTGTTTACAAAAAAAAACGAACACAGAAAACATGGTTACCGTCGCTGGCATGGTGCCTTCAAAGTCGTCGACTGTCCTTTACGAACGAACAAGGGGTGCCATTCACTTCCATGGAATCGTCTCCAAAAACATCTTGGGGTGCCAATTTGCCAATGCCATCTACTCTCCCATCAGCGCCCAGTGGATGATGGGGCCTGCTATCAAACCACTCTCTCATCATCTTTTACTGACGGTTGCAGGACAAACAGAACAAACAAATCAGCATCTAACGGGTCTCGTAGAAACAAACGTGAAACCATAATGTGTGTCACATGAATCTTAAAGAATTAACTCGTAAGCATCATGTGTGTCTCGTTAAGACAATGAATCTTAACTCTTAACATCTCTTAACACTTGGTCTTCGTGTGCTCACGTCACTCAAATGGTCACTCACGTCACGTCCAAATCGCACGTCGTGACTTTCCGTTCCGAGAGATGACTCGTTCTCCTACCTCTTCCTGGAACGGGCTACGTGGAGTTCACCACCTGTTTGTAGTGGTACAATGGTCTTCCAAGGGCCTATCTCCACGTAACCATTGTTAGTTCGGAGTGTCATGGTAACAAGATGAACAGGGAAACACGATGACCATGACCACGCGGTCATGTCTACGCCCGGATAGCGAGTCTCGTTTGAGAAGTCTGAGACACTGGTCGGATCGGTCGGATTTCCCCAAACAAGTGGTCGACCGGTCTTCATACGAAGGGAGGCGTCCGACCTGGTGATCTGTAAGATGCACAAACTGCCACGTCCCACGTCCGAGGCTGATTGGGTCTGGTTGAGTGGCTCAAAGCTGATGCTGAAATCAGGTGAGGCTGGAGAAAAAATGAAAATGGCAAACAACCTGTCAGTTGAAAAGCTGTCTTACAACATCTTGCAACCCCCTTGGGCTTTGAATGGACTTTGGGCATTGAATCCCCCTGTCAACTCCACCTTCACCGACACTACGAGCAAGCAAAAACTGGACAAACTATGGGCAATCTCCTCAGAACCTGCATGGAAATACCAACCAGAAGGACGACCAGAACCACCGCTAACTGCAAGAACTGCAACAACCCACACGGGCCCCAGCTGTTTCCTTTAAAAGAAACCGGTGCGGTCGGCATCTTTCGACCCGGAGAAGCCGAAGGCCTCTCGAGTCTTGCGATTCAAATGGTGTTCCATGATCATCACCTGCGGCGCAGCCCAGAAAAGCAGCGAAGGGCTCAAAAAGGTGTTCTTTTGGGGTGGACTTTCTTTAATCAAGATGGGGTGATCCTGTGTGATCCTCGCACTCATGGAACGGTGATTGACCCTTTGCCCCTGAAGTTGAAAGATTGTGAATGCCGTTCTTCAAGGTGACCTGATGCCCTAGTTTGAGGTCAGGTAGAAAAAGCTCACATAAAAATTGCGAAAGGGTAACTTTGAAGATTCTGCATGGAATCTTACACAGGTCACAGGGACATCCAATGTCAACAGCAGCTTCATTCCCCTCCGGAAAGGCAGATGCGGCCCTCTAGTTGTGGCGAAAACAACCTTCAAGACAACCCATTTGTTTGGCAAAAGGAATAAATACGAATATATTACAGTATATAAATTGTGTTGGTAGATTCGGTTCGTTGATCCAAAAAGAAAACAGAAAACCGTTCGTCAACCGATCTGTCGAGAGCTCCGCGGAGCTCTGCATAGCTCTCCGGTGTAGGGAGACGAGTCGTGCTCCGCCGGCAAGTGGTTGCGCCGAAAAAAGAACCAAGCGCCTTCTGCTGCAGGATCTTCTGTTCCCGCAAAAGGCGTTGGACCTCAAAACCGGACTCGAGGACTCTTGATCACTGTGGACGCCCCATAGGTCGACCCTGAAACCCCAGAGGTCGAAAGGGACTGTCCAACTAAAAAGCCATTCGACCATATTCGACCAGGAGAAGATCTTAGCCTTCGAACCCCACCGCAAGCTGAGTCCAAGTGTTCAAGCCCACACCTTCCGTCAGAACAGGCTTTTCCGAAATACACACCCAGAACGGTCCCTTGAACCACTCACCCCGGACGGTTCCGTCGGGGCGCCAGACGCCCGGTGACCTGGGTCGGTCTTCTGGCAACGTTGGGAGCGCTGAATGAAAAAAAACACCACCAGCGCCTCATCTCTAAAGGCCGTGTGAAAAGCAACGTTCCCACTCCACTCCACACCCCACCTCTCCGTGCCTGGAGACAGCTCCACACCCCTCCGCGCCACCTCCGTCCGACCCTCAGAGCGCTCCTGTCGTCCTCGCGAGGTCGCTCGCTGTCGTCCCGTCCGAGGGGCCATGTGTCGGTAGACCTTCTGCATCTCCAAGGCATGGTCCAACTCCTCGGACGCCTGGCGACCGGTGACGCGGCTCAACGCCTCCGAAAGGCATGGGTCGTTCCACTTGTTTTGACCCTGCTGGAGGGCCTCAACTGTTTGGGGGGCCTGTTGGAGGGTACTGGAGGTTGAGGAACTGACCTCACGTCACTTGATCATACAAACTTTACACGACTCAACGTTTTTCAGGGGTTTGGACCTGGGTATGACTGGACCTGTAGGGAGTGCGACCTCCAAGGAGTTCGCATCTCTTTTTCGGTGGCAGCGACATCCCCGATCCAAATCCTCACCACTGTGTACCGCACGTCCGCGCGCGGTACAAACACTCAGCTACACCCAGCTACACCCCCACGCACCACCGACCGGACGTGGGCACGAACCATCCGCCTGATCCATCTTCTCCCGAACCTGCTGTCGCACGAAGCCATGGTAGTGGTCATGGTCCTGCGCATCCACGAGACCGCGCCCCATACTCGACGCCTGACGGTGGTTGGACGTGGAAAGTGGAAAAAGAACTGCCCCGTCCGGCCGTCTGGCCAAGGAGACATCATTCATAACGAGCGACCAGAAAGACCACCAGATCTGTCGACTTCCGTGGAACCAAAGACAACCGCCAACAGAGGTCTACTGCCACCCCCAAGTTCAAATTGTTTAATAGCAAAACACCTGTGTCGCCTCAAGTTTCTGCTCCATCCCACTGGACTCACACGCAGGAAAAAACGTCGAACCGAACTTCAGGATGCGATGCATCGAGCGAATTTCCTCTCGCGCCTCGTGCGGGTGGGCCTCGGCCTCCCAGAAGCGAATATCCTGGCGGATTTGGATCCTTGGTGAACCAGGTCCTTCACCCCCCCGAGATTCCATTAAATCCATGCCCTCATTCCCTACTTTCGTCGCACAAGTCAGCCGATCGACTCTGTCCGTGGTCGGTGGAGTTCGCGGCGTTCGCTTTGTCTCTCTGTGAGGTTTTGCAAGCTCCGGGTGCCACTGTCGGTGAACGGATGTTTAAGGCTGCAGAAACAGAAAGAACTGTTTTCGTTCTGCACCACCCAGTTCAAATGGTTATTGGATGGTGAACACACACTATAGCCTATAGCCTTGAAAGACCCATTGAAAATTGGTTGACCTGGCTTTGTAGTCTAAAATCCTTACTAAAACAATGGTTGTTTCAGATTCAACCCATTGAGTCAATGGTCGGCCAGCAACCCCAAGGACGTCAGGGTATATCAAGCACCTTTTGAGTGGTGCTGTATGTTCCGAGTTGGCGAAAATCTCCTGATGGATACGAGGCCCCGCATGAATCCGAAGTTCTGGTTGGAATCTGCTGTTATCATCTGTTACCAACCTTGCTTCCAACAAGTGTTTGCCTTTCTTTGCATGGCCCAAGTTCAATTGGGAAAACCTGTGGCTGCCACAATCAGGTTGAAATTTCAAGATGAGTGTGGGGCAGAGGCCAACTGGAAACCCCATGCGCCACGTGGTGAATGGTCCTTGTCCTCTGAAACAAACTGACAAATGCATCACCCAAACTGTTTGTTCACAAGCCGGCCGGTCCCCAAACCCTGGGATTTGAGACCCCAGACCCCTACATATGAGGGTCCGCAAAACAAACACCACAAACTACAAACCATGTAACAGCCAGCATCAGTCGTGAACCTCCTGCGGAAACCTCCATCCAAGTCCTCTAAACATGCCCACATTTACAGCGTCTCTTGCGGAACATACATACATACATACATACATACATACATACATACACACTTACCTACATACAAACATACATAACCATGCCATGCCATGCCACGCCATACCATACCATACCATACCCTACCCTACCGTACCGTACCGTACCATACATATACCATACCATACCATACCATACCATATCATATCATACCATACCATACCATACCATACCAAACCATATCATATCATACCATACCATACCATACCATACGTACCTACATACATTACATTACATTACATTACATTTACATTTACATTTACATTTACATTACATTGCATTACATTGCCTGCCAACTGAGCACCATTTTCTGGGAGCAACTTCTATCTGAATTGTTTAGCTTAGAGGATCGACAAATATGCTGATTGGGCTCCTTAGGTCCTTCGAAGATTCGGTCCGCAAGGTCTTTTTCAAGCGGCCGCAGCTGGTTTGGTTCGGAAGCCCAGTCATCGCCAGAGGCGAGCGAGGCGTTGGGCTCGAAGCGTGGCCCTTTTCTTGTGTCCAGGAGGACGCGTAGGGCCCCGGCCGTTGGCTTTGAAGGTTTTGAACCTTCTGACCTCACACCTGAGCGGGGAGGGGACGAGAGGGGTCGAGGCAATGAAGAGTAATACATCAAAGGCACAGCAAGCTCCATCCTTTAGGGCATATTTTATCAAGGTGAAGTGCGTCTTCCAGCCAACCTCACGTTCGGCTAATGTAAAGAAATACTTGAACGTCATGGAAATGGTCAGCTTTGGCTGCGCTGTGATTAGTCGATAACACGCGAGCTGTCAGTGTGCTCGTTCTCCTGCCGTAGGCGGCTTTGGTGTGGCCATGGTCAGTAACTGCTAGGGTTCGTGGGAAGAAGTGTCAACAACGTTTCAAACAGGTAAAGCCAAGAGGTGAGGTGAAATATTTACACTGAATCAAAAGCCTAAAGAGCGAAAGCAAAAACTGCAGGAATCTGGAGCTACAAATGCTCCTGGATTGAAAATGGAAGCAAACGCAAGAAGCCATGGTAAGTAAGTCTGGTTGGCAAGTTGCTCGATAGGTGTCGGAAAATTCTGTCACTCAAAATGTCGTGTTTTGACGCGGTACAAAACGTCGTATGCACAAGTCCTCCTCTAAAAAGCCCGTCGTCGGCCTTTGGTTCCAGTTGGAAGGTGCGGAGCATAGCCATGCCAAAAAAAACAGAAGTGTCGGCTGGGAACAAATTCTTCTTGGAGCAACTCTGGTGTAGGTTGCGCATAGGTGGGTAAAAATGGGAACCGAATCCAAGAATCATAAGTTGGGCCTGCAGTGCTGCACTGGGTCTGCACGGTTGGCCTCGCGGGCCAATTCGGTATCAGAAAAGGAGAAAGCAAAATTCCATGGGCGGCGTCAGTCGCATCGCAGCGCTGCGGGATTTTGGGATAGTTCTTCTATAGTTGTGTTGCGGCATTGCTGTGAGGCTGCGGTCAGTTTCGAAAATGTGTTCACTGTGTTTTTGCGGTGGGCTGTGAAGTATATGCAGTCCTTCCAGGGATTGGGTTTAATTTCTCAACATCGCCTTCCTCAAAGCAAAATGCTTTGGATATTAAAAGGACCAGTATGACAACGTAGGAGGCAGTTGATGCCTTGATGTCAGCCTCCGCCTTTGGCTGGCTAAGCAATCCAGGTGTCTTGCTTGCTGCCTTCAACATGCCAAAAGAAAGGTGTAGTTTCTCAAGGAAAGCATGGAGCGGGGTGCTAAGCCCAGCCAACAGAAGGTCCAGCCTTGCCCTTTGCACCTTTGCCTTTGCTACCTTGTCGTAGAAGAGATTAGAATGTCCAGTGTGGCAGCAACATCCAGTAGAGGTTGAAGAAGCAAGCTGTCTAGAAGCAAAAGTGGTTCTCTACTAATCTCTAGTAATGTGGCACTGTGTCAAAACAACGAAACGTGAACAAAAAAGAATGTAAACTCTATCAAAGTGATGAAGTCTTCAACCATCATGTCGCAAACTTGCCGAGCTTCGATGCTCGTGACGCAGTGCTTGGCAAAGGTGTCCTCTCTTACTGGTGCAGCTAGTGCGCCAGCGTTGGCTGAAAAATTGTTGTGGCAAGAACATTTTTGGGGCGGGTGAAAAGCTGCAAACAAAGAGATGTGAGCGTTAAGAAAGGCTAAAGAACAGACATGAGTTTGTTTGCCCATGGAGCCTGGTGGCTTTGGTGTCCGGGACATCGCCTCCCAGGGGCTATGGTCACGGTTGGTAGGGGGCAAAACCGGAGGCTCTTTTCATAGCCAGGTCACAAGCGATGCAACGCAGAAGAGGAATCTGACAGGGGTGACAGGTTGTCAAAAGAGTACAACGGGCATGTAGGTGGACGTACGGTCAATCGCCTCCATAGAGGAAGGCAAAGGTATGCAGTGGTCACACGGGAAATCTGTAGTATGTGCGTCTGGAGTGCGCTTCCAGGCCTGCAAAAAGTTCTTGTAGCCGCTTTCGGAGAAGAACAACGTGGCCTGGCAGCATGTCGAGGTGCTTCATATGTTCCTGGCAAGCGCAAGAGGGAGTGTTCCTCCAGTTATGTGGGGAGAGAAGCGGGAAAGTGGAACCCTCCCGACGCAATGTAGTGCTCCTCTGTCATCATGGAGACGGCCTCCATGGTATCAAACCCGGCTAGGAGGAATCCATCACGATACCTGGGAGGCGTGATCAACGGCAGCAAGGTGTGAAACTTGAACTAGACCAGAACCAGCATCAAACCAGGCTAAGACCTTATGACATTATCCCACAAGGTTTCAAGCCAAGAGGGAAATCTTCAACGGCACAGCTTCAAAGCTCCTAGCGAGCCAAGTGAAAATCCGTTGCAAGAAGCTTGAGACGGCAGCAATCCAGGTGAGAATCCGACCATCACATTAGAAAATCCTTAACAATAATCTGGAAACTGTAACTGAAGTATAGTAAAAAAAGACCAAGACAGTCAGAACCCGGTGAAGCCATCCCGTAACCAGTGTCAACCATGTGAAAGCCCGATGAAGCCATGGTAAAGACTGTACAGCCCTTCGAATTGGCTACAAACTTCCTTTACAACAATCCAGCAACGTGAGTCAACGTTCCCGACACCATCAGCGATGAGCGGTTGAAACCTTGATGACCGTGTGGCTGGTGCAAATGGCTTCGAGAAAGGAACTCCACAACCTGCCAGGCGTGGGCCTCAATCTGCCAGACTGGAGCTTTAAACACAATCAAATTGTTTTGCTTATTACCTTTCTGCGCATTCCAATCGTATTTAGATGCACGCTATTTCTCCTAAAAGCCGAAAAAAAAAAGTAGCGGCCATGAATGTTTTGTTAGTGACTCCTGTTC